GCTCTTCCAAGCATGCATCTGTTAAAATTCACAGGTTGGAAGTACTGCTGCTCACTGCGTTATTGCTTCGAGCTACCACTAAATTGCTGATAGCAGTAATGGCAAAAACAACAGCTATTCTTAAAAGATCATTTCATTAAATATCCATTAATATTTCTGGGGAAAAACCAACCAACCAAACAGAAAGTGCACATGCCAGCTGAAGTCCTGATCTTTTTTCCTCAAACAGCACAGTATTTTTGTAAACTAGTATGAAATCTCACAAAAATTCTGTGGCTTAAGCTGGCTTTTTCTGATCAACACATCAAGGATCAGATGAGGTGTTTTTTTTTTTTTTAAATAAAAGAGGCTTTATGTTTTCCCATTATTGCTTTAAAGTATTTCCATTTATTAAAGATGCAACTAACATGCTTTTAAAACTCATACAGAATATCTGAAGTTATGGGTTTATAAAATTAATGCTATTAAACCCATAATATAATACGGGAAGTATCACTAGATAAACTAAGTCTGTACGCGGAAACAATCATGAAGTAAAGATCATTTTGAGTAATAGTAGACAGCTATCAAAGAAAAATAACAATTATCCAAATTGTTCTTAGAAAGCATTCTTTCAAAACTAACTCTTTTCCTGGGATTAAAACAGACCCTGAAAATGCACAAATCATTTTAAAAATGAAAAGTACAGTAGATAAAAAACCAAAAAACAAATCTTCACACTTTAAATAAGATATACCTTGTGATGCAAATAAAGCATTTTTAGCTGTAAAGTATAGCGTGACAGAAAACCTTGGCTTTTTTTTTTTTTTTTTTTTTTTCCTGCAGCATGAATTTATTTTCCATGCAAATACTTCTGTCTGAAAATGATTTATTACATGAAAACTTACAGAAATATATTCTGTTAAATACAGAAAAAAATTAAAAATTGTCATTTTCTTATATTTTCCATGCAAATACTTCTGTCTGAAAATGATTTATTACATGAAAACTTACAGAAATATATTCTGTTAAATACAGAAAAAAATTAAAAATTGTCATTTTCTTAGAAAAATGTTCTGTGACAAGAATTACGCAAAACTAGTCTATTTCCTTAGGAATTGTTCTATTTTCTGTTATAAAACAGCTACCAAATTTTCTATAATATTTACACATTAAAAGTGTAAGTTTTCATATGCCCACCAGTTGTGTTCATTTAGCAAAGTAAAAAATGCAGTCTTATTGGATCAATGATAGGCATAATATACAACCATTATCTCTTTATCCTTCCTACTGACCATGTTCACACCATTTCAGAGACTTTCAGAATTTTCCTTACCTACTAATGAGATTTAGAATCTTGCCCAGATGATTTTGATTTGTTACTCAAACAATGATTATTCAGCTAATTGCTTCAAATGAATCCAGATATAACATCATATTATTAAGTGCTGCAACTGAAAATTTTGGTAAACTTTGTTTCCAAGAAACTGGAGCTCTTTGAACTATATTGCTCAAAGTGAATGAAAAAATTTTTGAAGCATCTTTTGTTTCTATTGCTTATTTTTTGTATATTGAAAAGGACATTCCCTATACATTATCATTATAGTGCTAGAATTTAAACCTATGAGACTTTAATTCATAGTTGAAATTTTTTTCTACATTTACAAGATCACAAAGATAACTAGTTCAGAATGCTGAGTTATTTTAAAACAAATTGTAAAAGTAACACGGAAGAAGTTGACACACTTCCTGATGCGACATTTAAAACTGCAATGCTGCAGTTTTAATTTTTAACTCTCAAAGAAAAAAATAAATCAACTGAAGCATTATTTTCTGAAAACATTGGTCAGACTTGCTTCCATATTTGTGAATATAAAATAATATATAAGTAGCTATGGAAAGCCTGAAGTGCTTGGGCTGATGTCTGTAACTTAAAAAATAAAAAACAATTTTTCATGTAACATTCATATTGTAATGTCAATTTTTATGCCACACTAGCCTCAATATCTCTGATCTTCAACTATTAAGCAAAGTCGAAAACAAACGTTCTTCAGACTGTAAAGGAACAAAGGATTGAAACTAGGTGACAAAAACACTCATTTCATTGAGATCGTAACTGCTTTATTCACAAAATATAAGCAACTTTGTCTTCTCTCTCAATGAAAATTCTTTCCAAAGGAAGAATTTAACAGAAAGAGTCAACGCAGTTGTTATTAAAAAAAAAAAGCTGTACTGAAAACTTGAAAAAGTCTGATAAAATTTACAAATGCAAACTATCGCTTTGTACAAAATCTTTTTTGAAGAAAGCTTAGTAATAGATTAAAATATACAGTTTTAACAGCTCAGAAATGCACATTCATTTCAAATTCTGGTTAAGCGTTATTTTCGCCTGTGTGGGGAACTCTCCCTTCGTCTGTCATCATTTTTTCTTGATTCTCTGTACTGGTCAGAGTAACGGTTGTACTTCTCTCGGAGTTTCTCTGAACCATTTCTGTACCGGTCTTCTTGTTCCTCCTCTCTGGGACTTGAATTATTATGGTGTCTTTCTCCAGATTTTGACCTTTCTCTTTTTCTACTGCGATAACCATTATCTTTACTCCAGTGTCTATAATTTTCATCATCAGATAAAGAAGATCTTCTCTCTGCTTTCTTCATTGTTGAAGTACTGCGTTTATTTTCTAGATCCTTGCCTCTTTCATGGTTCCTTTCCTTTCCACTAGGATAACTGTCTCTGCCATTAGACTCGTCTCTGTGACGGTATTTTGATATGTCATCCCTCCTCTGCATTTCTCTCAAATTTCGGTGATTTCTTTCCGATGTTCTCTCAGTATCACTTCTATCTTCTTGATGCCTCCTTCCCATTTTCTTTTCATGTGATTTCTTTTTACTTCCTTGCTTTTTCCTGGAAACTTTATCTGATCCTCTGTTTTTCTTTAGAATTCTCTTTCTTTTGGCTTTAGCAGCATCTGAAAATATAGCAAATTGTGGGCATAATGTTGCATTTTAATTTATTATGCTTAATGTTAAAATACATAGAAATTTCAAGAGAAATAACTTTGGCCTAACAATTTTTATGTCAGGTATGTATCTGGTCACACGTTTCAAAATAACGAGCTTTGATTTTATGCTTTTCTCACCTCAGCGGAGTGCTTCCCACACACAATGGCAAAAAACTTGCCCGTTCTTTTAACCAAAGAGGTCCTGATTGTTTTTCAGTGTCAATCAGATTAAGAGAAAATTCTCCATAAAAGGAAGACAAGCATGAACTACCAATTGCAAGGCTTCTCCCACATTTTTCGTCTACACTTCAGTATTGTGTTAGTAATTAAGTTATTGACCAAGTCCACTGGTACTAACGCAAGAACCTCATGTTAGTAACAAGCAAGGTTACATCACCTTACATCCATAACCTTAAGAGTACAGAAATAAGCAATCAGGGAATAAAGCCTTTTGTGTTTCTCTGTACTTTACAATTCCTGCACAGGTATCAGCAATATTATACAGCAATCCCCATCAGCTACGACAGATACCAAGAGAAACTTCTTTCTCAACTTCAACCAACCAAACCAAAAAAGCCCCCAAAATCAAACAAACCCTCACTCGAATGCAAAACATGACTAAGCAAGCATAAGAATATTAGCATAGAGTAACTCCCTAAATGGAATCTGAAAGAGTCAGGTCTGCCATCCTGTTGATCCAAGAATTTTTAAGTCAGGTAAGATATCCTTTTAGATTTGAAAATATTTGATGTTTTGGATAAAAATGCTACGTACTAGCAAACGGAACCAATTTACCACCCTATCTAGTTAAGTAGTTAAGAGGGGAAAAGGACAGATTTGTACAGAAGTGGCTGCTGCTCGTGTAAGTATCTGTCAGCAGGGCTTTTACCCTTTAGGTATCCGGAACTGATGCCTCACTTTTCAGAACCTCTACCCATCATCTCCCTCTTGGTGACTTGAAACAGAAAGACTAAACACAGGAGCTGTACAGTCATACATCAAAGTACTCTCACAAATAATTTTAGAAAGATCACAATCTCTAGACCATCCATTCTCTAAAAATTGTTTCCTCTCCCAATTACTTTCTGGAAAAAGCTTATCAGTCAAAGAGATTAAAGACAGCAGATGGGGAAAAAAATCTCCAATACTATCCTCAGAGGAAACAAAGGCTTGCTGAAATTGCATGAGATAGTGGTAATACAGCAGCATAGCAGTGGCTCTCTGGCTCATTTTCAGGAGGGACAGTGCCAGCTTGTCAACAATTCACAATCAGCTGAGGCCCTAGAAAAAAGACCACAAGCTATAGCTACTAGGAACCACAGGATATTACTTTACATGAATACCCAGAGAGCTTGAAAAACAGTCTCTACCGTAAACCGGGAATACGCATTAGTTGCAAGTGAAAGATGAAAACATCATGAATGCTAAAGTGTGTGGCAGAAATTGTAAAGTTCACAAGAAACTTAAAATGTTAACAGGACACATTTTGATAAAAACCTTAATATTCCTAAAAAATACTTAAGTTACAAAACAAGTACTGAATGAAAGCAATGCCAGTACAGTTGCTTTAAACTAGCAAAGTCTGTCTTTAATTGACTTGCTTTCCATTAGCAAAGGTTACATTTTCCTCACCTATGCTCTTTAAGAGCCAAATTTTATGTTTACCTGAGAAATAGTCTAGATTATAAACTAACTAGATAGACAGTAGTTTCTTCTCCTTATTGGAAGAGGTTTTATTCTTCCTGCTTACTCTTTACGAGTAAAAATTTAAAGGTTCCTTAACAGATATGACAAGCTTTAGCAGTAATGGTAAACACACTGAAGTTACAGCCATTGAGAACAATACAGTTGTTTCACCTTATTTTGAACTCCAGGAACACCTCACCTAACTGTTTCTATTCACCTTTGAAAAATATTACAGCCATAAATTGATTCAATAGTATACTAAATACTTGAATTATACAGCAGCTGGCTAACATCCTGTCTCAAATAGGGTTTATTGACACTTTAAGATGTGAGTATGAATTGCTTCAGTTAGATTTTAAAATATGATTTTTTAAAACTGTGTTTTCCTCATTATTTTACATCCACTAGAATGAGGAAAAAGACCTCAGAAAATAAATATAAACAAACAAGCTGCTTTGATTATAGACAGATTTGATCCTCTCGTGGCCCTGGTTTGCCTGGACTGACCTGCACAGCTCAGCTGGCTGGAGTTCCACACAGTAATTGTCAGTAAAAATAATCTCTAATTTAGTTGCGTGCTCGGTCTCTCAGCTTCCAATAAGTAGTTTTTCTATTTTCTCTTACATATTATATTGTTAAAACACTCAAATACTGTAGCACACTCCTCTGAAAAATGCTTTTCAAGATTCTTGCAAGTTACTTTAAGATTTAAGAAGCTACAAACACAGGAAGACTTGGAGCTGTAATCAGTAATGGAGCTTCATTTTGTAGCAAGCCTGAATGACGTTTACCATTAGAGAGCAGGGTTACCTCAAATTAGTGGTCTGACTGTATTTAAGCACACAAGAGGCAGGAAAAATGAGTAAACCAAATCAGGCTAAGATAAAAAACTAAGTTTTAATGGACCTGTTCCTGAAGAAAGGACAAATGGTAGAAGACAAGGTCCTAAAATTACAAGGAGGAAGTGTTCATACCAGCAGACTGCAGACTCAGCTGGTTTGTCACTAAGGACTTACCTCTCTGGTTCCTATCAAGCAGCTCAGCAGAGCTGCAGCTGTCCACGCAGAAGCCATCTGTCTCTTTGCTGAACTAACGCCTCTCTGACCCTCTTTCACCATGCCCTCCTCTAGTGCTTTGTCGTCATTATAGCAATAGCTTCATAATGACACGCAAATCAGACTTTGCGCAGTAAGATTGCAACAGAGAACAGAAACGTATTTCCAAAGCATGAGTAATTCACACTGCTTTTCTTTTACTAATCAACATTTTCCTTTCTAAGGTACATAATCAAATTAACTTTGAATCAGCAAGCTTCTGAACTACAGAAAGTCATGCTGTGTTATCATCTGTTCACATTATATACTATAGGGGACGTTGCACATCAACTCCTGCTAGCATGTACTTTATAGATTGAGCAATGTTTATGACACTTCATATCAAATGGCAGGTTCTATATCAGCAAGATAAGGTAAGATGCTGAACAGTAATTATAATGCATACAACTATTATAGAACAAGTTGTCAATAAAAGCCAATTCTTCCTTGGAGATTTCTCATGAGACAAGAAATTGCATTGTATCAACACACATACTCTTTCTCAGGAAAAAGAATCAAAAATGAAGATTCAGAGAACAAAACTAAACATATTACTAAAACCGAACAGTGTCTTGTCTGACCCTTGAAGGGCACGTATTTACAAGGAAGGACACAAGTAGTATCCAAATCATGCAACCAAGCCAAGAAAAAAAAAAAGTCATACCTATCAGTCTTTACAGTTCACCAGTACGCTTGCCATAGAGATACTGCTAGAGAGTCATTATGACCCCTCCATCCTCCCACTGAAATGAAATGATGGCTCTACGTAACAGGCACGAACCATGTAAGAAAACTATCCAGAAAATATGCTCCTCAAATATTTGTCTCTAAAAATGGAAGTCAGTTTCTCTAACTTCTAAAAGTTTCCACAATCAAAATGCAGTGTTTTAAAACTAAAAACTAACAGTGTTTAAAAATAAGGGTTTTTACAGCACAAAACAAATGTAATCTGTGCTTACTTTTTCCTCAGAACACGTATATGTATGTATAGAACAAAGAAGTAAATATTTATAGCTAGTGTTTAATACCTGAGTCACTGCTGTTGCCACTGCTAGACGAGGAGTCACTGCTACTGGACGTCTCTGAGCTACTACTGCTACTGTCAGAATCAGAATCTGAAGAAGAGTCTGTCTCTGAAGACGAAGAGGAATCTGATGACTCAACATCTTGTTTTTGTGTCATTATCATCTTTGGTGCATTTTTCAGATGCTCCCGTAATTCATCCCTAATTAACAACAAAAATTATTTTCTATCTTTAAATTTGGGGGAAGGGAAGGGAAGGGAAGGAAGGAGAGCAAATAAATATCAAATCAGAAGACCAAAAATGTTCCTCACGTTAGTCCTCCAAGGCCAATAGAAGTGAAGAAATTGATGGCAAAGCGAGTGTTCCTTGGGTTATCCCGAGGCAATAATCCCTCAAAGAAAGGCTGCAATGTTCTGTTGAAAACAAGCATCTAAGTTAAACATCATACTGGCTTAGCGCTGATTCCCATTTAAATTAACAAACTGAAAAAGAAACTATATAAATTTCCACAGCATAGCAGTTTTCCATTCATGTATTTTTAAATACTTTTACTGCTTATACCTATGACTTATCCAAACAAAACGCCTTCCTGAGTCTCTCAGAGAAGAGCAAGTCTCAATATTTTAAGCTTATTCACACGCAGAAAAATTACATACTTCACTGTCAGATTATGATAATATAGAGTTTGATTCTGTGAAGCCCTGAAGAGTCTTGTCTGAACAGTAGCCTGCAATAGCAAAGGATTTTGTGATGACCAAGGCCTATATACCTATACTGTAATTCCATCAAACTGCCCCCTACGCACAGCGCTGTTTAAGTTTATATGGGCTGAAGTGCCTACTAAATACATCATAATATGCAGAAGAAACTCGGACTCTCAAGTAACTGAGAGAACTGCTGTCATGCAATTCATCAAAACACACGTGTGTTTAGAAGAATGCATTAGTTACACCATACGTAGTCCTAAAAAAAATCTGAATTAATAGTTTAGTGCTTTTTTCTAAACTCTTTCAGGAAAAGCAGCCACAGCCATACCACATTTAGCTTACAGAATACATAAAAATATATAACTTGTGTAAAAATTTTCGAAATGCAAGTCTAAAACTATCATTGGAGAGAAACCCAACAAAACAGATCCTGTAAATACTCATAGACATATATACTCTACCCAAATCAATGGTAGTATTGAATTTAATGGGACTATCTGAAATTCGTAGAATTATAGATGAACTTATTCTTTAAGAATTGTGGCTACAGAATTGCAGCCTTAGTTGAATTTGAAAATACAATTCTTGCATGTACTCTTTCAGAAAAAGAAATGTATTTAATGAACAATTTTGAAATAAAATTTCAACTTACTCATCTTTTAATCTTGCATTTAGATTAGGAAGCCCCATATATTCACTAAGTTCCTGAAAGAATATTTTGACAAAAATTCTACTGGAAGATGTGGTAGTTTCTTCACTCAGTATAATACATTCAAGAACCTAAGGGGAAAAAAAAAGAAAATATAGAGCCTTCTATTAATCCTTAAAAAAATACAATTAGGATATATATCCTTTGATATCCCTTGACCTATAGATACAAACGGGTTACCTAAAACCCCCACATTACTTGTAAATCTAACACTCTCACCAGCCAAAGAGTTGGTAGTTTCAGACTTTGAAAGACAAAAATCCTGTTTTAAGATTTGAATCTTAACATTTCACTTTTCCTTTGTCCTACTGAAGGAACAAAACCATGAGTCCTGTAATTCCTGGCAAAAACTTTTCTTCCTCAAAATTACGTTCCACCACCTGGCAGCAGTTTCGGACCACATTAATGCTAGCAATTCTTTAAGGATTTATTTTGTCCAAGAAAGAAATGCCCATGAGAAAAATAAAAATAAAAATAAATAAATCAAGTGTGTGAACTTTTGAGAAGTTAAAGATCTGAGAGTTAAGTTTTAAAAAAGTGAATATTTGGAACTGACTTGTGTGTGCCAGGTAAGAAAACACACAAGCTGAAGCTTGAAAAGCAGAAGTAACTTTTTATATGTTAGTGCATTTTATAGGAGTGGTTTGGATAAAGAATGCCAGTTCGCCTGGGTTGTGTAGCAAGAATAAAACATTTTTTTCTGAAAAGAGACGTTATCTTGATATTCATTTCCTCTTGTTTAACATTATACGTCATTACGACAGAATCTGTCCTTATTCATTCAGCACTTAAATTACAAAACGGCAGTATTAAAATTTCCTGTGAATATAAATAATTAAAGAAGTTTAAAAAGTTTGATTTATTTGAGAGACAGTTCTGCTATTTACATTGCTAATTAAAAGTTCTGAATGTTGAAAAAGTACTTTTTAATCAATCAGTTCCAGCTGAGCTCTGTAAAATAACAGCTCAAATCAACTAATTAAACACTGTGGAGATAGGAGGTACACGTTATTGTTCAACAGTGGGTATAGGAAGATATTTCAAATAATCCCATCTGCTACAAATACAAATAATTCCAAAACACAGAATAAATACTAAAACCATGATGTACTGCCTATTTTTTTTTGAATACTGGAAATTAATTATTGAAAAAGAAACAAAACCTAGGACAATAGCCTTTTCTACTTACACTCCAGGGGATTGAATCTGTGTACAGTAGATGAGCAAACATCTTGGCAACATTTCTCAATTTGTTTGTTTCCAAACGATGAATGGTATCATATTGCTCTTTGAAAATAGCTTCAAAGGATTCCATGTATTCCTTTTTTAACATGCAGAAACGCTGAAACAACAATTGTACAATTTAAACAACCAGATTAGTCCTTTACATGCGAGTTATTTGCCTTTTAACTGATACATAGATGAGAAGAATACACCTTTAAATAGATTTTACTGCTTTCAGCAGTTTGTCAGAACAAGGAACTCATCTACATTGCAAAGGAGTAATTATCAATTTTGACCTACAGCAAATTATACAGATTTCTTCTACTTCCACATGTATATTCACCTGATGTAACCCCATCAACTGTAACTTTTTCATGACACCATTGAAGGGCTACTGAAAATTAGGGAGGCAGCAGGGAACAGAGGCAAAACATTGTTCATAAATATTCCAAGGAACATGGAAATTAACATTTGCATTCTAATGCTGTACATGTACATTCATATGGTCAGTGCTTCATAACAGAATGCCAGTAGAAATACTTCCCCAAACACTGGATAAGAAAAAAATCACAAATGAAAAAATACATTCCCTTTCAGCATAACTGCTTGCACCCTTGAGAAGATCAGTATTTTTACTTAACCAGTCAGTTCCATCAGTATTATAGACAGGGAACACTTAGTTAAGAAATAACTGCAACTAAAATAGCAATTAGCTACATAAAAATGAAACAAAGAGCCAGCTGTTTTACTAAAAAAAAAAAAGGGGGGGGGGGAAGAGAAGAAAAGCACAGCCACTTTTTCTCCAA